AAGCTCGAGAAAAACTTGATGAAAAACTCATAAACCAATTGAGCGCCCTTTTTGGCCAAATTGCAAAAGGGGAAATGCAAAGAAATCGAATCGAAAGAGAGCCAGGGATAGCTAGGAAAAACAGGATAATTATTCAAACACTTTCAAAGTCAAACATACACACACACACGGGGCAGACGTGAAAAGTGTTCCCCTAACGGAAAACGTGGAATTGAAAATGTTTTTGGAAAAACTTTGTCGTTGCAACAGACGGAAAAAATATATATTTGTATAGAGGGGATGGTTCATGGTGATGATGATGGTTGAGTTTTTCGGTTCTATTCGGGATGTTGCACTCGCTCAGGGAAGCGAATCGAAACGAGAGTGGAACAAAAACAAAAACCAAAAAAAAACATATGCGGGACCTCACGACACAACCATATCCTGTAAATGTCTGGGCTGTGTGCACATGTGTGAGTTTGCCAGACAAAATAACTGAAAAACGGGCGAAGGTTGTTCAACCAACCACCGCAGCAAAAGACCAAAAACAGGATAGGGAATTTTTGGGAAGGGGAGAAGAAACAGCATTCAGCATTCAACATCAGCATCAGGGCATCAAAATCGGCCGAGAGCAGCTGTTCCAAAAAGTGGATGGCACATACATAGTGGGTATTTGTGACCGGGAATGAGGAGAATCGTAAATAAAACTATGCATGTGCACTGCTTTCGGTCTTTTTCGGTGGTTGGACGCGGCGGCCCAAAGGCAAAGGTACACATACCATGCGGGAACTGAACTCCCCGGCTGAGATTAGCACAGGATTTGCGACCCGATAGAAATCAGATGGGGGGGGGGGGGGGGGGAATATGGAGTGGGAAAAGCCAGACGACTTTACGAAAAGTTTAGTGCTTAGAATACCCTTGAATATTTATGAGATATTAAAGGCAGAGGAAAGCTTCTTTAGGGAAAAGGACCCTAAAACTTAGCATACCTATACATAATCGTTCTTAGAAAGTTTATATGTGGGTCTGGGGTTTGAAACCCAGTGGGGATTACACATTTTAAAACATTAAAATATATAAAAATACAAAGTCGTAACCAATCATTTTACCATTATCAATATTCTTATGGGACAGTTTTATAAGTATAGAAGATTACCATAGGACATATCTTCATAACAATCTGTTTAAATCTAAACACTTCTCTACTATTTTAATTACTTCCCATCAAAATGTCATCTGATTAGTTTCATTAACATTGTGTCCGTAAGTAATCACAATGTACCCAACATAACAATAAAACATAAAGGCCATTAAAGTGTTCTAAATTGTTCTTGCCCAAATCAGTCGGTTGCCAGGGAACAGAACCGAACAGAACAGAGCAGTGAGTACGGGTAACTGGCCAAAACAAAGCCAGAGCCGGGCTCAGAGCCTAAAAATAACAGGAACTGGCTAAGCCGAGTCAGTTGGTGAGTTAGTGACTGAGTGAGCCTAGACCAAAGACACCTTGCCAAGAGGCTGACCGGGCCAAGACACTGGGATATGCCAGGTTGAGGTCCAGGTCCGAATAGAGTCGAGTCGAGTCGAGAAGTCCACCGGCCACAATTCGTGCAGGAAGCGGGTTTCGTCGATGCAGGCAAAAGGTTTACACTGTCTTTTTCCTACCTTCTGTCGGGCCTGTCCGACTGTCGGACTGTCCAGTCGTCCATTGGTTCGTCGTCGTCTGCCTGCCGCACCTCCCAAAACCAGTTGCAGGTAGTTTAAAGTAAAGCCCAAAGATCTTCGCTCATTCGCTCGTCTTTTGGGATACCTTATAGCATATTTCTTATGCGACTGCTGCTGCGCAACCTGAGTCGCATCCGTACATACATACCTACGTTTCGGATACGAATATATATACCTACATACCTCTTTCTATATATATATATAGCTATATAATTTTCTGTCGTTTCTTGACTCTTTCGACTCGACGGTTGCATTGGGGAAATTTCGTAGAACTTTGCCTAGGATTAATTGGTTAAATGTTTGTTGTTCTTATTTTTTCGTTTGCTTCGTTTTTTCATCTCCAGAGTGCCATTTCTGGGAAACAAATTATAAATTGAGTAATCTAGCACTAAGCATCGATTTCGGTTTTTATTAGAACCATTTCAAGTGTTTATGGTTGGGGGAGGGGGGCTGGTAGTAAAAATCAAAGAGGTTTCATTAATTGCTGAGATTCATAATAATAAAGTTCTAACTTTATTGGAAAATAAAAAAAAGAAGAAATAAAGATTTCTATAAGAAACTGCATAAACTATTGTCACACTTCACTGCAACACCGTGACTAATCAAACAATTCTACAAGAAACATGACCAACTAATGTTGCCCAAAACTTTTATAAGCGGATTTCGTTAAAGTTTCTATTTTTTACTTGGCCACGTTGCCGAAGTTCACTCAAAACAAGAACTACTTAACGACTTGGGCCACCTTTTTGCGCACTTCCTTCCGCACCTGAAAAACCACGCTTCACCTGCTTTTGGGCTCTCCGCCCCGCCCCTCAATAACAGGCACCACCTTTAACTAAGAACCCGTAAACAAAAAAAAAAATACAGAAAAAAAGACAAAAAACACATTTCCTAGCCTAGGCTGACCGGCTGCATCTAACAAGTTCGACATTTGGCACTTGAATTTAACGCTTGATTGCATTCCAGCCCAAGTTTCAGTCTCCCTCCATTCACTTCCCATTCGCAGGACAGGATCTTTATGTATGAAGTCCAACTTCCATAACTTAAACTTCCAAAAGTCGTAGTTTTATGGCACAAAAATTATGTTCTCATAACTAACTTACTTCGTACAATATAGTTTTGATTACTTGGCAAGACTAGAACTTAAATTTTAGAAAAACAAAAATATATGTCCTATAATCATATTACGGAACCTCTTAATTACGACACCAAAACATTTCATTGCAGTTTATCATAAAAACCCTTGGAAAATTATAATTTGAAACCGAACTTATAGTCATAGTTCAAATAGTTCTAACAGTAAATGAATATTTTAGCAAGTTAGCAACTGGTAGACCCTCAACTGATGATGATTGCTTGGCAAAGCCAATCCAAACGTCAACGACTTCATTCTGCGGGCTCCACTTTCAGTTCAGCCGGGGGTTTTGGGTTGCTTCAAAGGGAAGGTATCGAGGGATATACTTGAGCCTCTTCTTGGGGGCCTCTTCTAGCTCCATAGAGCTTGAGTTTGCCTTTCCACGCTTTGTGTGTTTCTGTTGGCTCCTCCACTTGTGGCTCGTCTTCGGACTTCCACTTCCACTTCCTTGTGCCTAAACCATTGGGGTCCCCCCTTGTGTGCCAGTTTTTCACTGGCTTCCCTGCGGACCGACGAACCGACCACTCACCCACCACTCCTCGAAAAACCCGCCCGATAAACTGGCCTCACTTTGCGTTTTGATTATAGCCGGAAATGCCGTTTTACACGTGAATGAAATTTGTAAATGCAGCATTGCCAAACTTCTGGTTACACTACAAATAAATTGATGGGAAGTCGGGGTAAATAATAAATTGATGGGATCTAACTCATGCCTTTTGTTACCAGCCAAAAAAAAATGTTCCACTACTATAATATAGTATATTTGGTACGATTTTTCGCAGAATAAAGTAGTATTATCTTTTTCCGGATATCAGTTCAAATGGAATTTGACAGGTATGAAATGTATAAAAAAAAATCATTTTAATTTTGAGACCGTTTTTAAAATCGTTGTTTATAAAATTTCATGCCTGTCACATTTAATTTAAACTATAAAGAGGATATAAAACTAAAATTTGCAAATCCATTTATGATACTTTGCTTTTCCAGTACACAAACAAGAAAACAAACAAACATTTGAAGCTAGACCCGTGTTTAAGCAACAATTAATGTAAAATTTTGCACAGAAATGTAAATCAAAAGAGTCAAGGGGATAGAAAAAAGGCAGAGAGAGGCCGAGAAATGGTGAGATGGGCAAATAGAAAAGGCCAAGTCAGAAGGGGGACGACCAAAAGCAGGGAAGACCAAAACCCAGCGCTTAGGGTAAGAAATATATTATAGGAAAAATCCACCCTCGGGGGGCCAACAGCGTTGAAACTGAACTGCACAAAGGCACAAAACCATGAAGGACAGCTCAGCTCGGGCCCGGTACTGAGGTTCTGAATCGAAATGAGTACGAGGATGTTGACGTTGTGCCTGCTGCACAAAACATCAACAGCAACGGCAACACAATCCAAAGGGTTACAGAATCAAAGGCCTAAACAGAAGGTTGCTGAACCCACGGAGACCGTGACAAAAAAGCACATAGCAAAGGGATCTCGAAAAGGTAACGATGCTGTAAATACCCTTGCCGGTAGATTGTTTATAAAACACCTTTGCTGAGCTGATATTGTATGTAACAGAAAATAATCCAACTATTGTAATAGAACCAAAAGTTGTTAGTCCTAACATGTAATTGAACAATTTGTTTATTTGCATTTCCCTGCCAAAGAAAATATAAGGCTTAAAAGATCTTTAAACCAAACTGGTTTTCCTAACAAACATTTATCACACTTCTAATCAAATTTAGAAGGATTTGGGGAAAGTCATGTCAAAGAAAATTAGATTTAGTTTTTTACAAATAAACTGGTTTTGTAGAAGATCTACGGCATTTCTAAAGACTTTTGTTACTAGAAGTAAAAAAAACATGATCAACATAAATATATTTATAATTCAAATATAATATCCTACATATATAACCATGAAGTATTATATGAATACAAACACTTTCGATAAAACCACCGCTTGTAGATCCTAACAATCCTCTATGTATTGTTTCTAACCTAATATTACTTAGTTCTGTATAGTCTGTAATCCAATGGCAGCGGGATGTCTATAGACTACCACCCAAAACAACCCGAAAAATAACCATGTTCTCTGCAGCACCCACAAAATTACTCTACACCATAGCAACACCCTCTTCAGATAATCTGAAATCATGGAATATCAACCCATAGATGGTACTTACCAGACAACTCCGAATGCTCCATAGCCGATGGGACGATCCGGCTGGACGTCCTGGGGCACGGCTGGCGGTTGATAGTAGGGAGCCGCTGCGGCCAAGATTGCGCTGGCGCCTTGTGGCGCACCACCGGCAGCACCACCCTGTACCAGTGACATCGAAACGCTCATTGAGGGACTACGCGGCGGGTTTTCCAAATAATTCGAGCAGCTGCACCACCCGTTTCTGGTATTTGTTTGGCGATGGGGCTCAGTGGTTGTGGTTCAATTGGGCTGTGAATGTGGCTAGTCCTCGGTGGTGGTTTGGATTGTGTTTTGGACTGGGACTGTGGTTCTGGTTCTGGTTCCCGAAGTGGTGACGGCGGTGGTGGCTGAGGAGGCGGCGGTGGTGGTGGTGCTTGATTTGATGTGGGAGAAATGGTGTTGATTGCTCAATGGATGCCGCTGGGCCACTGATGGCCGCCATTCAATTGTTGGCCATTTGTTGCTGTTTGGCGTGCTTCTATTCAACGCAATTACTTTCGTTCGCGTCGCTTTTTACACTTTTTTTTTACTTATTTAAATGAGATTTGAGGACATTGTGGAGAACTGTAAAGTGGAGAGGAGAAGTCAACAAACATTAATTGTTTTCTTTGTAGATTGAACATTTTAAATGTTGTTTAGGGAATATAAATACTTAAGTTTCTCCAAATGTTCTATTGTATAGGACGTCTTATAGAGTTTAACATTTAGAAATTTGTCACTCGTATGTATCATATGAGAGATATTAGAGATCTTTAAACATCCATTGTAGTGTTCTAATAATTTTTGTAGAATTCCGAGGTTATAAATATTTTGTAAAAGTATTACAGATGCCTTTTTATAGAGCTTAACCACAAAAGAAAAAGAAATTTTTTGAAGCAATAGGAATATTAATTTTTAAACTTTTCTGGATTTTTGATAATAATTTGGAAATGGTTCCTATTTCTATTAACCCTTTTTTATGAAAATGAATTACTTCGGTTTATTTTCAGAGGTTAGAATGGTATATTCCATATTTTCAGTAGTAAACAGTTATTTGAAAATGTGGAACAAACTGTTGTCTGGTATTCAAATATCATCAGATCTCTTTAGAACATCGTAAGGACACTGCTTATAAAAAAGGACATGTTTCCAGTACATTATTTCAGAATGTTCACTGTACTTTAATTGCCATTACTTTTGTTTGCTTTTCAAATTTTTGGTGGCAAATGAAGCTGCACACGAAAAAAAAATACGAAAATCGAGAGAGAGCGCGGAGAGAGGACATGAAAAGTGCCGTTAGCTGTCGCGACCGGGGCGCGTCCGTGTATTACAGTTGTAAGTGTGTGCGTGTGTGCTGTAACTGTGTGCGCGCATGTGAGTGCGATTCTGAGTGATTTTTCGACTGCGCTGCCTGCGCAAAAAGCCGCTCAAAAAACACAAAGCCCCACTACCAACTATAAATTCACCAAAAACTAGACTTTTCATGCAATTTACAACATTCGTAAGGCCAAACAATGATGAGACCCCAACTTGGCTAGCCAAAAACAAAAAGGGCAAATCAAAAATGCGCTCAAATGAAAAGCGAATAAAAACGGGACAATAGAAATTTTGCCCGGGGAAAAGTAATGTTTCCCAGGGTTTAGCTTAGCTTTTCCGTACTAATTAAACCCATCCTAAGCAAACACGGAATTTCCCTTTGATTTACCTTGGAAAATGCACAAATTTTCTGCAGCGACAATGGCAGTTTTTGTTTTTATTTATTATTTAAAATATTTCTTTTTTTTTTGTTTAACTCTTCCGCCTTTGCGAGAGTGAGACAGACGAAAAACGCGCCGGGGGTAATATTCGTGCGTGTGTGTGCGAGAGAGAGAGAGACAGTGAGAGGGTAAGAGGGATACAATTTTGTAATTTTCAAAATTATTATTGTAAAAAACGCGAGACGAATTTGTTGTTGTTTGCTGTGTTACTACTACTACTACGCGACGACTGCTCACACACACACACAATCTCACGCACGTTTATATGTATATGTATATGCAGCAAGCAGAGGCAGACAAACAAACAAATTTTGCCTGGGTCACGTTTCTTGGCTCTCTCGCAGCTTTTAATTGCCTTTTATTGCATTATCTTTGTTATCACACGGCCGCGGGGCGTGGCTAGAGGGGGCGGGCAACGGGTGGCGTTCAATTACCTCGCAGCTTCCCTTCGATTTTGTTTAACTTGGATTTTCGGATTTTCGATCACACGCGGCGTTTGGCTTCAGCGATAGTTCCGAGTTCGTGCGCTCGATGTTCCGCTGCGTTCGAGAGTTGAGAGAGACTTGGAACATATGTTCGCTGTTTGCGGCCAATGTGGACGTTCCGCTGCCGATGCTGCGTTTGTGGTGGTTTCTCAAATCTGCGGTGGTGGCGCTCTTTCTATAGGATTTACCAACACTGTTTTGGCTTAGAGATGGACCATGTAATGTTGGTATAAAGTCGTGACACTAGCTTGCAAAATGTTACCCGCGAAATTCGGTTGGAATTCTTACACATATCAATAAAAGTTTCAACCATTCTTGGTTGAGATAGATTATCTGAAAATCAAAGTTGTACAGAATGGTGATTGTGGTACTTTGCGCCTTTGAATTTTCTTTTAAAATTGCAGAAGTTTTTACACTGTGCCCTTTCTACAACAGTATACTAATGAAAAACATAAACAAATATTTATCAATTGCTATACGTAAGTAAACATTTTAAATATTTTAATGATTCCTACCTAGTTGATTAACATAGAATGCAAAGTGGAATGAATAGGACTTGTTCCAATATGATTAACTTTCTTATTTTAAACGGGGCAAACATTTTAAGAGCAAGCACTTTCTTGAAATGTCCACAATTTTAAAATGTGTTTGTGTTCGGGCATGCTTTAAAGTACTTTAAAATTAATTGCTTGATAGTTTTTAATTTAGCTATTGCTAATGATATTAAAATGCTATTGCTATGTAGCACTGATTTTGAACTATGTTGCTCTGCTACTGTCATAATATTTTTCAGGCATTTATAAAAAATAAAAATGTTTTAAATTACCGTGACGGTTGGAGTTTGTATACCAATTTATTTTAAACAGATTTCTGTGTCCCCCCAGAAAAAGTATATTTTATAGAACCGGACGACATAATTTATCGGTATCAGGTGCAAAAAGTTTTAAATAGTTTTAGTAAATTAACTGATTTCTGTAGTTTTAAAGTTCATAACTTTTAAATATTTCTTAGCCGATATCTGCTGTACCAAGAAAATCCCATCTCTAAGTAGACAGAGGAGGAGTCACTAGACTGGTCATCTCCAACACCAATGTCACAACAAAAATAAAATATTAGATTAGAAATATGAATCGCTTCGCCTATGTTGAGGCCCGCTTGAGTTCCAACGAATCATTCGTCAGCCGCGACAACAAGGTGAAAATATACGATGGCGACCAGAAGGTGAGCTAGTGAATCCTATCCCTATTTACCCCAAACACAAACCCAGAGCATCTTGTAACTTCAATCATATCTGCAGACTGAGTTCGAAGAGGGCGAAGTGGTGCTCACGACGCACCGACTGTTCTGGGGTCGTCCTGGCGAAATAGCCCGGGCCGCCGTGACCCTGTGCCTGCCACTCAGCTATGTGATCTCGCTCAGCGAGGAGACGACTGCCTCCAACTTCTTTGGCCGCAAGACCCGCATCATCATGCACCTGCGTCCGCCGTCGCCGGACAAGGGACCCGGGCCACTGGACACCAGTCGGGCCACCCACATCAAGCTATCCGGCAAGAATGGCCTGAGCGTGGAGTTTCACAGTGCCCTGCGTGAGACACTGAATGCCCGCGTCTGGGAAATTCTCCTGACCAGCGAAACGACCATCAATCGGCTGGCCAGCAGTCCCACATCGGAGCCTGCCAACGATGATAGACTGGCTCGCATTCAGAAGCGAACGGGAATCGGCGGCATTGAGCGGCATCTGGAGGCCAAGGCCAAGGCCACGGATGAAAACATAGCCCTGGCCTTTCAGGATCTCAGCGTGCTGATGGCCATGGCCAAGGATATGGTGGGAGTGTCCAAGACCATAAGCAGCAAGATACGCGAGCAGAAGGGCGAGATATCCGACGATGAGACGGTGCGTTTCAAATCCTACCTCATGAGCCTGGGAATAGACGATCCCGTAACGCGGGAGAACTTCACCAGCAACTCGGCTTACTTCAGCAGTTTGGCCCGACAGATTTGCGAGATGCTGCTAGATCCCCTCGAGGTAAGGATGGAATTAGATAGATAAATCAATCATTAAGGTTCTATGCACCCTAGGAGCAAGGAGGCATGATGTCCTTGGCCGACGTCTACTGCCGTGTGAATCGGGCGCGTGGATTGGAACTGCTTTCGCCCGAAGATTTGCTGCACGCCTGCGAGCAACTAAGTGGTCCCATACGCCTGCGCAGCTTTCCCAGCGGTGCTAGAGTGCTGCAACTGGAGTCCCATGATGATGGCCTAATTGCCATTGACACGCTGGAGAAGGTGGAGTCCGCCGAATCTCTAGCTGTCGAAGAGCTGGCCAAGCAGCTGGGGATCTCGCTTTTGCTGGCCAAGGAACGATTGCTCGTGGCCGAGCGGCTGGGCAAGGTGTGCCGTGATGAGTCCGTGGAAGGACTGCGGTTCTATCCCAATCGCCTGCTGAACCGCGACTAATTTAACTGTGAATGTATTTGTTACTAGATATGCTTAATTAACAATTATTACTTTTTGTCTAAAGGTGTTTTGTCTCTTGAATGGTAGAAAAGAAAAGAAAACTGGAATATTTATTGGTGTCTCGTAGAGTAAAAGGGTTTACAAGATACGTCGGAAAGTGTAGAAGGGAGCATTTCCGACTCTATAAAGTGATAAGGATCACAAGCCGATTCGAACTAGCCATGTCCGTAAGTCCGTATGAGCCGAGATCACGGAAACTATATTAGCTAGAAATGTGGGATTTGACATGCAGATTCTTGAGGTACTTGCGTATCGAGTCACGTCCATGGCGCTGAAATTTTATTTTATTTGAATATGAAACAGAGTAACGGGTACCTGATAATCGAGACACCCGACTATAGCTTTTTTTTTTTGTTTTAAGTTGCAATGACCAGAACTTTTACAACTTCCGGAATAACAAGACTGATTGAATTTTATAATTAGTTTCACACTTTATTGAATTAACGGAGCTTTTGCTTTGACTTTGTCGGCGCTTCATTATTTTACTTTTTCTTTTTTGTCGTAAGTTTTATTTTCGTTTAGTATTCCTCAAGAGTTTTTCTTCGTAATCAGTTTAATGAAAAGTTTCTACAGTCAGGTATTTTGATAAGCAGTTATTGAATTGAAATTACACATTTATATTAATAGTGGTTTGTCGTGTTTACATACATATATTATAAATATCTTATGCTGCTGCTTAGATTGCTCCGCATTACATTAATAAATCTTTGAATTACGTTTCAATAACCATTGGATCAGACCACACGTATCTATCATATTTCGTACTCAGGTTTTTGGCCAGTTCTTTGCTCGAGTAACATTCTCCTCACCCACTTTCACTCTCGTGATGCTTTCAATCATTTATTCGGTTTGCGTAGTACCATGTTTTCTTTTTCGTTTATTCTTCTTAAATCACATTTATTATTTAATATTAACATTGAGTAATTTATGCTTGAGTGTGTGTTGGGTACGGTAGGGAATACGGGTAATGGTGAGGTTAATTTGTGTTTTATTTTTGCTTGCTTGCTTTATGAAGAGGTTTAGTTTTACGGCTGAATCAAACAATGCTAAACAATTACAGCAGAGTAGTAACATAAATAAAATCGTTACTTAAATAAATAATTTCCATCTACAAAAACTGGCTCAGTTGAAGAAAAAAAACCAACGTGTTTAGTCAAAGCGTATCATTTTACACATTACTCGTCGAATCGCACTTGCAATTTCATTTGCCCAAGCTCCTTCAGCTGCTGCTCCTGTCTCTAGTTTCATTGTACATTGCGCTATTACAAATAAATTGTTTAAATAAGTTTTGACTTTTTGTGTATTTTGTTTCGCTTTCCGTTTTTAATGTTTCGTTTCTGCAATTGGAAGTACTAAATTGGTTTGAGGCTACGAATTGTACATTACAAACTAAAATGTGTGTGTTTTTTTTCTCTTCTCTTCTCTTCTTTTGTGAACTTAGGCTAAGCAATCGATTAAATAATTAGCAATAATAATTTTAATAGTACAATATGAATATTTGTAATTGCTAAAATGAACCCCTACACCGGTTCATATGCTCCTCTCCTCGCTTAGCTAAACGTAATCATAATAATTAGAATTTCTTTACAATTAATTTACGTGTTTTGTTGATTTTTCCTCCTCATATTATTGCTTTCCTTTTGTTTTCGGCGACTCCTCCCCTGATTTACAGCTTAAAATTAGCACACTTAAAGAGCTAGTGTTAGGACTTAACGAATTGGAGTTGGGGAGCCAAATTGATAGGTGTTCTTGTGTGTGTAGTTTAAATGGCGATTGGGCGCGGGACATATTGAAACAATTTCCATATATATATGTAATATATATGCGTATATACAACTAGATAAATATTATTAAGACCTCTCTCTTCTACACCTAATTCGTTTTCGCCAAGGGGTCACAATTAACACAAGCGCAGTCGGTAGAGCCGGTCCAGGCCAATTCTGATCCAGCTCCATCTCCTAACTAGGTTGCACAACTATGAGCTGCCATGCTGTTGCCCATGCGATTTACACTTACGATTACACATCAAAACATATATAGTTATGTGGGTATACAATGTACGATAGTAGTGATAGTTAGGAGGTAACCATAAACTATAATATCAAGCAATACACAACGCGTAGCCTTTTACTTGTTCGCTCTAATGCTTCAGCTCTTAGTCCTCTCAGTGCCAGTCAATCCACATCTTTGTTTACTTGGTCGCATCGGTGGTGGAGCGCCGTCGATTGACCGCAGCCTGTTGCTGTTGCTGCTGCTGTTGCTTGGCCGCCGCCAGAGCCGTCAGTGTCCTTTGACTGATGGCTCCCGAGGCGGTGGTGGCCCTTCCGGCTATCTGAATGTGCTGCAGCTGTTGCTGTTGCTGCTGCTGCTGCTGCACCTGCACTTGGTTGGGACTGGGCAGTGTCTGCGAGGAGACCGTGGCGGTGCTCTGCTGGTTGAGTATTCGGTGTTGTTGCTGCTGCAGTTGCTGTTGCTGCTGTGGCTGTTGCTGTTGCACTCCGGGCGCCTTCACCGTCTTCAGTTGCAGCTTTTGCGCCGACATCACAATTGGCGTAGTGCTTAGGTTGCCGCTGCTGGTCA